CGTCAAGGTGACAGCTTGATAAAGATAACTTGTTTCTTCGCAGTGAGCGGGGTGTCATTTATCTGCGTCTTTGAAGTCACAGCAGGTGAAGTGCTTCTTTTTTTAAATATGCAAAAAATGAATTTGAGTAAATCTCAAATTGTTGCTAAAGAGAGAAAGCATCTTGCGTTCGGCGTCACTCAGAAAGTAGAGTAGCGGAGCAAAGATCTGCCCGGTGGACCCAGACTTCTGTTCTTCCAGCAGACGCGGTTGTTGCAGCATCAGCAGCGTCGTGGCGGCGGCTCGTAGGTCACAGATGGAAAACGGTTCACTGACTGGACATTTTGTTCCAAAGCTGAAATCGCATTCGTTAAAATGTTGTTTTTATATAAATCTTAAAATGTTAACGTCATTATTATTAAATTATTATTTTTTTTGGACAATTTCTTATTTGTTTCCCCACAGCTTGTGGCATTTTTAATTTGTTCCAAAAAATAACACATAAACTTGCCCAGTCAGCAAAACAAAGCAGGGTAAAAATAGATTACCTAAATAAAGCATTGTTTGCACAAAGCGAGTATGAAAAGAAGACAGAGAATAACAAGTCTACATGTACATGTACTCAGGGTGTCAACTCTTCTTTTCATAGATACGTTTTCCTCAACACACACACACACACACACACACACACACAGAAAGAAGCTCGTTCATCATCCCGAGTGTCGCAGCTATCACACTCAGCTGGTACGAATCAGGTGTGCCAGTTCAAACAGCTGCTATCTGTTTTGCATTTTTTGAGTAAAAAAATAAAAAAGTTGTTCACTTGATCTTATTTTTTTGTTATCAGTAAACATTTTAAAGCAAAGCATCAGGTTTGTTGGGAGGATAAAGCACAGGATAAAGCCCCAAACATTTCATTGCTTCAAAGACCTGCAGGTTATAAATATACACTGGAGAAAAAAAGTCAGCGAACTCTATGAATACCTACAGATAAATGTAAGTCTTTGTATTTATTCCAAACGTTAGTTATGATAGCGGACGTATTGCCTTAATATCAAAGTTTGACGGCTTCATTGCAACCTGAAGGAAACAATAAAACAATTGGCTGATTAGAGTAAAAAATAATGTTAGGACACTTGCCTGAATGGTGTCATCGCCCGACGCCGGCGAGCTGTTATTGGACTTTCAGGAACGCTGGGAGATATTTTTGAAGTGTCCCAAACCCAGAGACACTCGTCACAGCTGGTAACAGAAAACATTCATGAAATTACCACATGGGGAGGAAGAGGGCACAATGTCAAATGCTTTTTCCTTTTCGGCTTAATGCAACAGGCTGTATCTCAGAAAGCATTTCACCATTTAAATGACAAACAACAACCCAAAATAAACATAGCAATCTGTAATAACAAGCATAATGAGTCAGCTGAGGCCACATTAAACGGGATCTCATGGATGTTTAATTTGTCTCTGGGTGATAGAGGTTAAACCAGCGCAGACTTTCCAGTTGTTCCCTTGGGAACAATGAAGCAGTTTAACTGTAACTCACATTGGCTCCACCTGCGAGTGTGTCACAGGTGTGTCCAGCTTGGACGTGGTTACATACCTGAAGGCCGGAGCTCAGGCCGCTCTGCCGGAGAGGGTCCTTGCATTACATCAGCGTCCAGGCAAAAATCTCCTCCCGTGTTGTATTATGTCATTGAATCTGAACTTTTTAAAAATACAAGGAAAACATCAGGACAACCCCTACAAAACATCAAATGAAAGTGCTAAATAATATGAGGAAAAGAAAATCGACAACATCAAAATAACCTAAAATCCAACATAATTAACAATTCATGTACCTTGTTGAATAAAGCTGATAACCTAAACCGACGTATCAGCTTCATTTAATACCTTCCTTTGAACCTTCTAGTTTGAAATGACAGTTATATCTCTGATCCATATGAAATGAAACTAGTATACTGTGTAACGCTTCTTTGTACCTCTCGTAAGACCGTTTTTAAACAGAGTTAAAGTATAATGCATCATTTATTTGGTGGTATCCAGAAATTTGTTTATTCAGTGATTTTTGCCAAAATACACAATATTTCTGTTTAAACCCGTGTAGCCGTACAAAATTAAGATATTTTTATTTTACTCCAGTCAAATTTTTCATCATGCATAATGCAGATCAATGTTAGCTCCAAAGTCTGGCCACACATGCTGATGTATCCCTGCCCCCGAACCAGGAGGAAGTCTAAATGGAGACATCCACCAGAACCAATTACACTGGACATTTAACGTCATATTATGGGGCAGATAAAACTTCTGCAGAGCAGGAACGTGCTGAGTGTCTTTCTGATATTTACTCTAATGAGGTTTAATGAGTTACGTCCCCCCTAATTAGTCCTCCCTTAACATGTCACACTCTCAATTCTACTGTTGATCGATGAGGGGGACATTTCATTTACCTCGAGGCTAAAAATGTCAGAAAAACAGTTTGTGGGAACGGCTAAAATATGAACAAATAGGAAAAGTAGTGCGGACATGAGTATATAAATACTGCAGCTGATACAGGATATGGACAGGGCAAACTACATCGTAATTTTGCGAAAGGGAGATGTAAGGCTAAATGTGTGATTGGGGGGGTACAAGACACAGATCAACGGATCTAAAAGACCAGTCTCTTTTATCCAACACGTTAGACTGCAAAGAGCTGAAAGATTCCCGGGGGGCTGAGACTTACTAAATGAGGCCTCTCAGGATGAGCAAATGGGGGGCTGGCTCACTTTTGGACAGCCTTGAAGGCCGGCTGGCTGGATGCTTTCGTAACTCTGCTCCACTGAAGGCAGCACGTCCGTTGGGAAAGGTACAAGGTACATTCAGTCTCAAAAGGAGACCACTGACTCCAGCGCAATTTTTAAAATGGCCCGAAACGGAGCTATTAGCGAAAGTAAGGATGAGAATTTCAAAATAAAGGTGTTGAACAGAGTGCGTTAGAGTAGAGCAAATATTGCTTGATTGACCTTCAATACGGGTCAATGTTCTGTTATGAGGTTTCGATGACCATAAATAGTGCCAAGGTTCCAACTTTCTTAGGTTGTGCAAAGTAGCAAGCATCCAAAACAGTGAGAAGAAGCTGAAAAGTAACCTTACTTTCACGGTCAAAACTTCTTGTGACTCTTATTAATCTATGACACGCAGACTTATTAAATTAACGTAACGTGTCTTATCGCGTACCCTGCGGGGGGGCTGGACCGTGTTTTTAGAGGTGGCGGATCGCTTGACCGCAGTCATATGAGTCAGAGAGCAGAAACAAGCGAATGCATAAGTTATGCGACATTTGGCAGCCAATTTAACACATTTAAAAGCCAAGTCGCAGCAGCCGGCTGTTTTGGAAGATGTGCCCGGACTGTGGGAGGTTGGTTGGGGAGCGCGCTACCTCGATAATGAGATTCAGGGGGGGCGTGCTGGTGCCTCAGCCAGAGGGCTTACTCAGGCTTATCTGCAAGTTGTACCAAAGAATGAGAATACGAAAGAGGGGCATTTTAGCAAAACATGTGCCTTTCACAGTAAAATCTCTTGATGAATGCAGGAGTGCATACGCGTAAGTGCATACTACAGTAGTGTGCATGCTACATGCTTCTGTGGTATTTTCTGTAGGCCATTTTGCTACTCTTCTTTCTTTCTTTCTACTTTTTAGCCAGATATTTTCACGGTAATTTAGGGTGCAAGGTTAGTTGTTAATGTGACACGTGCACCCGAGGGAGCTCTAATTGGAAAAGATTGAAAACATAGCCTTTATTTTCAAATGTATTTGCATTAGTCTACTTTGGCAAAGTTTGCACTTATCGTGTCTCATTATAGAAATACATTTCTAGGAAGTGAAAATGAAGCGGAAAGTTGTCTGTGGTCACGGGATGAAATAATTCACGTAGAACGATCAAATTGAAATAGACTGCTATGAGAAGTGTTGTAGTTTTGTCAGGATGATGGATGAAGGCAGTTGCCAAGTGACCCTGCCAAAGGCACCTTAACATTTCACCCCGAGCTTTGGTGACAAGGTGTTGATGAGGTGCGAGCTTGCCTTGATAACATCAAGGTCAGTCTCCTCTTATCTGGATTAGAAATGGAAACGGGATGTTATTGGTGTACCCTGTGTCTCAGTTGTACACAACAAAACGTAGTATTCTGCATAAAGGCGTCACACAAGCGAGTATACAGGAAACAAGCGACCTCACTTGAACCGTGAAGTCCAGGAGCAGCAGGATAAGTTATTTCTCAGTAACGTGGAAGAGAAGACAATGCAACTCGTAGGACACGACAATAAGCGCCGAGCGCCGACGTTACCCTCTCAAATACATGTGGGAAAGTGAGATACTGTAATTGTTTGTCCCGTTGTTTGTTAATGGGCTCTACTTCTGGGCGAGTAATCACTGTGTACGTACACACCATGATAACAGAATTTCTGGCAGTTTGTTTAGGTGGCTAATTATATAATTATACAGCTGCTACTGCACATGCGCTGTCCTTGTTTCTATGCCGTCTTCTGCTGCCTTGTTTCTACTTTACTGTTCCTCTTCGCTCTCTCTAGACAGTTGGATGGCATCAACTACTAAACCGACTCCATTTAACACAAAAGTTACAGCAAGAGATGAGGAGCGGTGTGAGCTCGAGGGACGTTTAGGAATCGGGTAACAAGGACGCAGGAAGGAGGTTGGATCGCCTCTTGACTCAGTGCTGTTCTCCACGCTGCTGCTCCTTTTCTTCATTTCTTTTTAATTTGACGTATTTATCTCAGCGTTATTTGTTTCTCTGAGGGGCGGTGAACCTTTTGGGCTGACACGGCTGCCAATGGCACGGCAGCGATTGTTAAAAGCCATAGCAATGGATGTGCGTTTGTGACGATGTGTGTGTGTGTGTGAGGGAAGAAGAGGAGGAGAGAGCAAACGAAAGGGTGGGTAGGTGCAATGAGAAGATGGGAGGGGGCATGTACTTGGGAGGGTGAATGCGAGGGAGGCAGAGAGAGAGAGAGAGAGAGAGACGGAGTGGGAGACGAAGCGGCTCGCTTCATTCCGCTGCTTCCTCAGCATCCGTTTCGTGAGCTCTTCTTCTGGAAAGGAGAGAGAGAACTGGAGGAGGAAAAGCCTGAAAAAATCCACTGAAGAGGGAGGATATCGAGGAAAATAACATATAATCAGGGCTCATTGGAATCCACCACCCGCTCTCACTGCTTTGGCAGAGCTGTCTGAAAGTTTCCGTCCAGGGGGGGTGGACGCCCTCCCCTCGTTTTGGGGATGAACAGCGGATGCTGAATTTCATTCCAGAAGGCAGAAGGAGAGCTGTGAATACCGGCTGGATTCACTTGCAGCGGAGCTGCTAGTGCGCACCAGAAGAGATCCTACAGTGCTTCTGTCTCTCACACACGCATTTTCCTGCAGACTACATATCATTATTTCACTGTGTCAAGGTGGAATATCAGGGGGGGGTGGGGGGGCAGGCTACCTGGAAGAAAATCCTCTGAGCCAGGGAAGTAAAGGAGAACGGATTATGTGGAAAAATCAATGAAGGTCATGCTGTTGAAAAGAGTAAGTTCTCGTCAGAAAAGGCTGTGAATCGGGCTGAGATTCTGAGAGACTTGGAGGATCCTCTTAGCATTTTGGTCTCCTCTGTGGAGCAGCAACGGGCTCCAGACCCCTCCTTGTGGACTATAGGGTTCTGGATACTATTTTCAAGGTAAGGACGTATCTACGGGCTCTTGTATATTAATAGAACCCCCCAAGTTTTTAGAAAAGGGAAGATTAGAGAGACAAAATGGGAGAGATAAAGGGAGGCGGACGAGGTGTGAGTCCCTCCGCATTCAGCTTTACAGAACGTGCAAAGTTAAGATAAATGTCCTATTGCTTAGAGAAGAACGTACCTCTGTATTTTCAAATTTATGCAGCTGTGTTTGCTTAGGAGACGCCTGTCCGCAAAGCAATCCATCTCCCAGCTTCTTTCCTTCGTAGTGGTTATCACCGGGGGAGGCTGCTCAAGGAAAGGGCATAATTGCGTTGGCTGTTTGTTTTCGCCTTTGCAACAGCAAGTATCTGTGAGCCAAGGGAATCGCTTGAGTACCGTGGCCACATTGTATTCATTCTGAAGGTTCCTTACTGTGCTTTATCTCACCATCTCAACCACCCTACCTCCACCTCCACCTTGCATGCATAAGCAAGTTTGTCGGAGCAAATGATCTCTTTCCATATCTCTTTGGCGCTCGGGTTCTTCTTGCTCTTCTCTTCTGGGAAAGTGATGGTACAACCATTGTTGATTGAAACTACAATGGTTTTAGGCAATATTGAACAGATTAAAACGGACCATTGAGTGTATACTATAGTGCTCCTTTTTGGGAAGAGGGATGTGGGAGCCTTCTTGAACAATACCAAACAATTGCAAGGCTACCTCTTTTTATGAAGCAACACTTGAAATGTTCATGGTTGCATGGACGTCCTGTTGGTCCCCTGAAATGTTTTAAATAATTGAAAAAGGCTGTCAAAGCTAAACTTTGGCCTAGACAGCTGATTATGATTCCAACGCCTTATGTGACATGCAAAACAGTCATCATTAAATGCCTCGGAAAAGACACGTCTCTCCTCTTGCAAAGCATCCACTGGGGGGAAGTGGAGCCTGATGGGAAGTTGATGACAGGTGCTGTGTCTCCTGCATTTGAGGAGGAAATTAGTCCATAATGTCCACGTGAGAAATCTACCCAAGTATCTTAAGCTTGTTTTTGATTAAATATTTATTACAGGATAAGATATTGAAATCATTGAGAGTATACGTGTCATGAAAGATGAGCACAGGCTCAGAAGGGGGCGGAGTGTTCTTTCTCCTGCAAGATGGTCTGACTACTCTGCTTGTGCAGCGTAAAGATATAAATACAAAGAGGCCCAGGTTGTCCAATCAGGAAGACATTGTGGACACCGATGTTGGAATAATGCACGCTTTCACGTAATCTTAGTCGTAAATATGACTAAACTAAATCTGTCATATTTGACAGAGCATATAGAAGATAAAGAAATGAATAGATCGCACATCTGCGCCACTAACTGCAAACACTGTCTCCACAGTGTATTCAGCTACAACATAGAAAAAGGTCGCAAAGTTCATGTGAGAGATTAATTTTCACCCCCCGTCATCGTTGACTGGCTTCTGGTGCCACAAAAGGTTCCCCTGCACGTGTAGCCTGAGTGAAAGAAGCTACTGTGCACTTTCCTTTTCTATCTACACCAGCTTTAACATTCAAGAGGCGTACTGTGTTTAATCGCTCCCCTCTTGAAAGAGATGCAAACGTATTATCTGCTCTGCCTGCAGGATTCATTTCATCTAATGAGCTATGTACTATGTGTATGCATATTGTGCACATACATGTGTGAGAGAGCGTGCAAGAGGAGAGAGAGTTTATTTTTTTCTTCTGTGGTATCTGCGTGGGTGTGTATTTGTTCAGAGCTCTGTGCTTCATCCCTTTTGATGTTTTATTGAGTGTTAACCATGGTAGGGCTGACGCATTGCCTCTGAAATGGAGAAGCATAAAGGAAAGCAATGAGGCCGACCTCGCCGTTCCTTGTACTTCCTTTAACTGTGAATTAGCGATGCTGTGTCTGCCTCTTTACGCCCGTTGGATTTGGTAAACGGTTTGGTTCTGGCACCGTACGTGTGCATTGTGCGAATCTGCGTCTGCATGTAAGCAAACAGGCAGTGTGTGCACTCTGTGTGTGTGTGTGTGCTCAGGTGAGTGTCTCTATGTGCAAAAAGAAAACCTGTGTTAAAGGGGATTTACAGCATGGGGACTGTTTTCTTTTTCCCGTTTCTGATGTGGACGAGGAGTCAGAGACGAGGCCCTCCATTTTTTTGTGATATAATGCATCCACCCAATCGTAGGATTGGCAGAGCGGAGAGAAGCAGTCCTTTCATGACCTGTGGTTATTCAGTGCCATTGACTGTTCCTTGGCCAAAATCAGAGGCAACAATGCGGGGGGTTTGATTCAGAGTTTGAACCAGTATGCATGCACTTCAGTAGGCAGCTGCAATCTGACAGACGCCTTCATGAATGGTAATAAATCATCTGTAGTGGTTTGTGGCTTTCTGGTTTGGTAGCAGCAAAATTGCAAATCAGACCACATATCGTAATATACAGGTTTTTAGTATTAGTATGAGACTCGTTGTACAGATTTGGTGAATATCACGAATTGGAATAGCCTTGGTCAATATGGTTTAGCCTTAAACGAGGAGTAAAATGTTGTTACAAGATCAAAGCATGTGGAATGAAGTGTTGTTAAGGAATCGGTTGTGCTATATCCGTAGCATGGATGTAAATTAAGATATCCACAATGATTTATGAATACAGGTTAAACCCCGAGTGAGAGAGCAGATGTAAAGAGAGCTCTGTTGAAAACAAGGCCTCTACCCACAAGCAACTATGCATATATTTAGCCTGTCCATTGAGGACATGGAAGAAAAATCAATGATCACAGACTGAAACACGTGGTGTCAAATTCACGTTTTCTTTCTCTCCTCTTTGACCTTTGGATACAGTTGGGAATGCGTTTTGTAAATATCAGATTCTAACTTCGTCAATGAGAGACCGACAGATGTCAATGAAACAAGGCAGATTTATTATTATTGATTATTTTTAGGGGTGTCAACAGAAAAACGTTAATCTATGCGATTAATGTATCAGAGATTAATGCAACAAAATATTTTAACGTAGTTACATCTTTGTCTACTTGACTCCGGAAACAAAACGGCCGCTAGCTGCAGTTCAGCTAGCTGCAGTTCAGCTAGCTGCAGTTTAGCTAGCTTTCATTGAAGAAAGCAAGACGGTAGCTCAAGATGGAGAGAGCTTTTTGCATTGGAAGTGGAACAAGCAGAGGCGCGACATGCAGCGGAGAACTGCACAGAGGAATTACTCCACGTGTCAAACAGAAGTGAGTGGAAAACGGACCACTTTACCCACCGCTAGTCTAAGCTAGCTGCTAGGCTAAGCTAGCTGGAATAGTTGCTAGGTCAACACGTTCCACCAGTTGGAATTCTACCTCCAAGATGTCAGGGTGGGTGGAAGGGGGGACTCAAACGCAGACGTCAAAAGCAAAAGGACTTTAATAGTCATAAACTGCAACGCAAAAAAGGCCAAGGGGCAAAAACGCATACAGGTACCGGGAAAAAAAGGCTGGCAGGAACTAGAGACATCCAGGACGATAGACAATGACGCAACAAGTGGCACAAGAGACACACTGCTTAAATACACTAGGGAGGTGCAGGTGATTGCACACAGGTGGAACGATCACACAATCACAGGGGATGACGGGACAAGGCAGGAAGTGACGTTACCCGGGGACACGAGTGGCAGAAAACTACAAAATAAGACAGGACGTGAACCACACCGTGACAAAAGATGATCAAATGTGTGTATTTTGTGTTTAAAATAATATGAACAATTAAACAACAGTGTCTAAAATACACATTTTATAAACTGACTCGTAATTACTTGTAAGATTTAGTCTTTAGAAGAAAACAAACATTCATTAAAAACAACAACATGTAACAACAACGACAACATTCATTGCCATTGATCGAGATTAATGAATTTCAAAATGTGCAATTTAGTTCATTTTTAATCTATTGACAGCCCTAATTACTCTTATTATTGTTTCATATCATTTGTTGGCTAAAATGTGACTTGATAGTTGTCGCACACAACACAACGCACGTCGGACTAGCGATCATGAGCCATGCTTCTGCAGCCTGTACGGCGCCTGCTGGTCGAGGCAAACAGAAGACCTTATTCTAAATAGAGGACGCCAGCCCCTTTGAATCCCCGATGAGGCGAAACGCGATATGCCCTAACAGCTGGCTCGTTTTACGGAGTGTGCCTACTCATCATGGTCGAAGAAGGGGGGAAATAATCCCCGTTTGAGTAGTGCTCGCTTCGCGGGAAAGAAAAAGAAGACAACATTGGATGAAGCTTGTTTAAAAGCTCAAAAAAAAAGATGGTCTTGGAAAAGACCTCTGGATAAACTCCATAATTGCATGAATTGCTGGAATACATTTTCTAATGATCAAGAAATGAAACACACAAATGATTTTGACGTCTGACTCTGTGTGCTAAGTGACTATTGGTGTCGGCAGAGACCTTTTGGCACACGGTAACAGGAAGAGGCCCTACGGATCTACGGCTTCCCTTGACAGTGACCTTGCTGTCTCTGCAAGTTGACCTTCCTGGCGAGCTGCCGAGGGCGCGTCCCACCTCCTTTTTGGAGAAGGCCCTTTTTCTGCGTGTCGACAAGTAGCATTAGGAAGGGTCGTAGCTGGCAAAGAACAGAGGGCAGAGGGTGTCGCGCTACTTGTCAGCTGAGGGAGAACACGAGGAAAGCAGAAGACAAATGCGTGGGAAACGAAGAGATCAAATATCATCAAACGGTGTCAACAGCTCAAACGAAGAGACCGTCATGTTACAACCTCGTCTTCCCCTAAACCGCGGACTAATTTAGCTCAGAGGATAGAACACATCCTTCAAAGTGCCTGGGTGTTTCTTGACTGGGATTGGACGCACTAGGGAACGTTGCTGTTTTTATTACATCAATAACAGAAGATAAAATCAATAGTCTTTAATAATGAAGGCCTAACAAGAGAGCATGAAAAGGACAGAGTTTGCTTCCCTGTCGGCTGATTCAATTATTAACCCAGAGAGAATCAGG